CAGCCAACTGCTTTCGTTTGATTTCGTCGGTTTCTGCTTTGGCTGGGATCTAATTAAAAATGCATTCGAGTTGGCCAACTAAGGCGACAACGGCAAACAGGGCCGGCCAAAACAGCAGTTTAACCAATTAGCATGCCCAGGCCAACTACAAAAGCAAACTAATGGGAGTAATGAGGTGTGTGGGGTGGGGAAAGGGGACTTTTCGATTTGCACAGGGCTCAACCAAAACCACCACCCACTGTCACCCCATTTTCATTTTTTTTTTTTTGCGACTGATGCGGACGATTGCCCAGCAAACGGGCCAGAAAGTATCTCGAGCAGAGCAGAGCAGAGTATCTGGCAGATGCGTAAGCGTGCCAGCTTTTCGAATCTTCATTCGGCAGCCGAAGAAAAACTGATTTATATTAACCCGAAAAAAGCGAAGAATCTCAAATGAATTTGTAGTACGACAAAGACAACGCACGTTTGATGTTGTAGATACATTCTGTTCTGTTGTTGTTGCCACAACGCAAGTACAACACAAAACGGCGAGCAAGTACGAGAGTATCTCTCGGGTTTTTCGGACGTGGACGTGAACGTACCAGTACGAGTACGAGTATCTCTGGGCATGAGTATCTGGTTCCGCGACAGCGACGGCGACGCCACTCAGCACGTTCATTATGGCATTTTGTCAGATACAAATTTCCGAGTCGCTCTCGCCCCGAAAGTGTGCCTGTATCTGTATCTGTATCCGTATCTGTATCTGCTGTATCTGTATCTGTGCCGCTGCTGCTGCTGCGGTTTGTTGCGCGATAAGCATACGGATATGTCAGTTAATTATTTGTTTATATTTCGTATTGCCTCGCTCTCTTAAAATGTACATACTCGCCCCGTTCATGTGCGATGTACACATTTCGTCGCCATTGATACGCGTTTATGTGGTCTAGACTCTAGAGTCTAGAGCCAAGGGGCTCTACATAAAGCGTGCTATATATATGGGCACATCTGTACCGTACATTTCGCATACGATTTTCTGCTGATTAAAGCAAAAGCAAACTCACTCGGACCACAATTCGCTGGAGTCTGGTTGATCGCACTGGTTGCGATTGGTTTTCAAATGGGTGCGCTGCTTTGTGTCCGAAAACCTCTCAAGATTATTCCGTACATACCCAATAACCTTGAATTTTAAACCAACTATTGTTTGGTTTTAAGTATGATCATTTCTGCAACTTTATTACTTTAATATTGCACCATCTTATTTTGGTTTTTAATTATATTGCTGTGTTGACTTTAAAAGGTTTATTTTTTTTAGATCGATGTTTCTTATTTAAATGAAATTGTTATACAAAATTTGCAAGAATTTTCTATGACTAAAAATATTTTCTTGTATATAGAGTTTAAAAAGTGATCAATTTTAGTCTTGGTAGAGAGCCATGTATTTAATGTTTAAGGAAATAATTATTTTCCGCACTTGCATTAAATCAAACTAAAGTTTATTTTGACATTGTTAAGTTAATTCAAAAAAACAACAACCATTTAACCTAATCTGGTAACCATGACCAAAAAGATTTACGTTCTTAATAAATCAACAATGTCAAAGTAAACTGCAGCTCGATCGCATTCGAGGGAGTTTCTTTCATTGATAGTTATTTATTTCCCGGCTATCACTTTCAAATAAAACTTTCAGTACCAGGAGCCAGAAATGTTTAAGAAAACTTGATATCCGCATCTTGGGGGCCGCCTAGCGTGTGCAGCTGCCACCGCGAAGGTGCCTGCAGCAGCAGCAACATCCGCGGCAACATCTACAGCAGCAGCAGCAGCAACAGCAACAGCGGCAACATGCACAGCAGCAACATGTACAGCGGCATCAGCAGCAAGTTGTGGCAGCAGCGAAACAGGCGATAAGGAAGAAAGCACAGGCGACCAATGCGAATGGGGGAAAATGGCTGGAAAACCGGTGCAGAAATGGCAGTCGCCGTCTGTCTGCGTCTCCACCTTTCGCGAAAGAGTCGCTGGCGTGTGTTGCTGGTGCAACAACTTGGTGCAACACGGCAATTGCAGTAGCGCGGTGAATGCAGCTGAGCGCCTGCTACAATGCAGCGACCGAACACCTGGAATGGGGCATCCACCTTCGGGATAGCCCGGGCTCCAGCTCCATCTCCCCCCCCAAAGTCCCACTGCCAATCCCAGTGCGATGATTCCCCAGTTCCATCTGCACTCGCATTCCCAGTGTCTCAGGTTGCGATTGCCCGCTTTCGAGGGCGGTTTTGCGGCGGCAGGGATGTTTCTCCCGGGGGTTGGGAATCCAGATATTGGTATTGGGCACGAAATAAACAACAACAAAAAAAAAAGACTGTGGGTGAGGCGTCCGTTGCACAGGAGAAAAACCCGAAAAAAGCGTACAACAAAAGCTCAGCCAAAGCGGAAACCTGTTTTGGCCACCGAGCAAAGTGAGTGAGTGAGCAAAGAGTTAAGTTGAGCAGCGGCAAAGGCAGCAGCATTGACCCCAACTGACTCAACGACAAAATATGCCAGAGAAAAGGACGGCAACAGTGAGTCAGACAGAGACGGGGACACAGACGGAGATGGAGATGGATACTGGAGACTGGAGCCTCGGGAGATCTTTCGTATCCGAATAAATGCAGAACATGGTGCGAAATATTTAATACAAAAATGCTGAAAAGGAGTTTGGCCTGACAAAATAAAGAAACACGAAATACAGTGGAACATGCTTAAAAGAAACGATTTATTCTGGCTAGAACTAGTCATAAAATGAAGAAAACAATTAATAAAACATACGGTGTCCTTTTTTATCTATGGTTTAGAATATGATTTGATTTTTATTTAACAATGTCAATATGCCAAATAATCAGAATTAAATTTTAGGATATTACAGAAATTCGGAATCTAAATTTTTGGGGACTAATTTAATTCACGTTCATTAGAAATTAGATTTAAAGACATTTGGAAATTCAGGGTTTTTCTGGTTTCTAAAAGTACAAGCTCGACTTTGATTCTTTAGTTTATACGGAAAAAAGTGATGTAGATTAAAAGAATATATTTTCAACGTTCAAGAAATTGGACTTCGTAATCTTCGGATAAGGTTTTCTTTGGTTTCTTCTAAAGATTCTAGATGTCAGAGATTCAAGTTGTTAAACATAGTTGTAACAAGCTTAAATGGCTTAATATTTTTTAAAGGATTGTGGAAAAGTTCGCGTTACAGAAGTTAACCTGTACCAGCCAACTGCAGCAGACGAAGCGAGGTGAGGCCAAGTAAACCTGTTTACAGTTCAAACTTCGCATTCGATATATTCGATGTGAACTCTTTTTTGTTGTGCTGTGTTCGTCTGGCAGGTTCTGGGGCTGCTTCTTCTTGGCCATTCGAGTAGTTTTAAGCCACCTACGAAGTCGAAGCTTAGGCCGGGTTATCTCCAGCTTAATTGGGTCATTCACACGCGCCACTTGACGGCCGATAGAGATGGATATACGGCTCCAGAGAGAGATAAAGATACAGATGGAGACTCCGGTGAAAAACACACACAACTTTTTCAGCCTAGCAACAACTTCCGGTGTCTCAAAGACGAACTGAACAAGAAACTAAAGACGCCGCATAGGCATAGGCATAAGCATACATTACATGTTAGACCACTCAAAGACGTATGCGAAGACGGAGGGCAAAACAAACGGCGGAGAACAGAGGGAGAAAAATATATAAAAAAGACATTTGACGAGCCGGACAAATAATACTGTTTATCAAGTGAAGAAAAGTATTTAAAATGTCGGGTATGCCAGGTATTGTGCTTAAACGCCTTCCTTCATCGGCATTCCATTGGAATTCAGCTGATATTGGTTAGGGAATTCATTTAAAGTACTATCTCTGATTACAGATTTGTACACTACTTAAGTAGTGCTGAAAAATATCAAGATGAATTGATTCGCATTAAAACGTAACTATTTGAAAGTTATTAACAAAGTCCTCAACTTATCTAGTAAACAATTCTAAAGAATTAAGCTAAGTACGTACTTGAGCTTTTTTGGAATCTCAGTATAAAATTATTGGCGTTGAAAACCTAAAACAAATTAGCAATTTCAATAAAAGTACTTTTAGTAATCTAAAAAACTGCGTTATTTTCAAGGTACATTTATAAACAATCGGTTGTATATTACAAAAAGACTTAACATAAATTCAATTAATTAGCTGTAACGAATTGCATAAGTATTTCTAAAATTATTCTTTACAATTTCGAATTCTTATGAAATGTTCAAACAATCGAGAGAAGTGCAACCAAAAACTGATTTATTTATTCATATACTCTGCTTTGAAATGTGAAGGACTATAACCTTTTGAAGTCATGTTTTTTTTATGACTTCCACTAACAGCAGCTATCTACTAAAAATATTTATCGAATTGGTTTTGAAGCAGAAGATTCGAGTATCTTACAGATTCAAGTGAATGAATCAACGGTAACTCTCTCCTGTTCTCTTTCGGCTACCTACAAGGATCAACTCGAAGGATCAAAGATGAAAAAGAAGCAGAGAGAGAACGAAAAACAAGGCAAAACAAAGTCATCAGCCCAAAGACAAAGGCAAATAAATGAAAAGACACAAAAGAGACGGCCGTAAAAACTCAACCGACAACTTCTGGGTGTGCGAGAGGGAGGCCATGCATGGATAGAGCGAGATAGTGGCAATTGTACATCCATCATTTTCTAGGCGATGCAACAACAAAAACAATAAACTGCAGTTGCGGCTTAGGAAACTATTTGGCAATTTCAAAGTCTCTAAAAACTGGTCTTGATCTATTTTTAAAAACCGAAACCGAGCTTAAACTTAAGCTCCCTCGAGCATAAAAACATCAATCAAACGAAGTTCTACACACGAAAAGCGCTTCAAGGTCTTATCAAAATCAGAAAAAAAGGCATATAAAAACCCGAAATAAAACTGGTTTCAAATGCAAAAACCACCCACATACAAATAAAAGCTATAAACTAATTAGGCGATAAGAGTGTAAAATTACTTACCCAGAAGCTGGGGCGATAATCCAATTTGATTTGATTTCTTTTTATTTGTATTTTTGTGTTTTATTTCTGTTTAGCACTGATAATTGCTTGACTTTTAATCCAACTGCAACAACAAGTACGGCACAATTTTATTAGATGGTAAATGCAATAACAACAAGCAAAAGAGCGTTTCTCTCTTTCTCTCTTTGGCTTTGTGTTCGTGTGTGAAAATCAAAACAAAACACGGCAAAAACACTCGGGCACACACTTAAAACTCAAAGAGAGAGAGAGAGAAAGAGAGAGAGAGCGTAAGAGAGAGTGATCCGCTTTGCTTTTGTTTTAGTTAGTGACTGCAACATGTTGAATGTGTTTACTCTCGCCCTAACGGTAAATGCTAGTGCTGCAATTTAAAGACCCTCTTTTCGTCTCAAATTAAACATAAACAATTTACAGGCGGCAATTTCCCTTGCAACATAATATCCACAATCACACACACACACGCACACATATGTATATAAACGAACACCTATGCAAAGGACGCTGTTGAGGGTTGCATTTTATTTTGTTAAAAATAATAACATTTATTTGCTTACTTTTATCTCACTATACACTGCTGGAAATATTGAACTGTTTCGATGGTTAAGCATTAAACCGGAAAAATCAACACAGATTCTGGACAATAATAAAAAAATGCCGCCAACAAATTCGGGTTTATTTGTTTGTTGAATATTTATGTACACATCTAACTTATTTTTTTGTTCACATTGTATGCACTTTTCAGTTAGTTTGTTAAGTATATTTTTTACGAGAGTTTCCGACAATTTTCAAGCGCTAAAAACAAAGAAACCGCGCTTGATGACAAAAACCGCGTCCGACTCGCGCAGTTTTTTGTTGTTTTGGCAGGCGCAGTGTGACCGCGAAAAAGTATACAAAAAATACCACGTGACTTTAAGAAAAATACTTTTTATACCATATTTAATTTTCGAATATACCACAACAAAATTGCTTGGCCATTTAAGGTATTCCTTATATTTTGTATACATATTATAAAATAAGTTGATTAATAACATGTTAACTAGTTGAATTTGCCAATGTGTTTATAACCCGAGCCTTATCGTAGTTACAGTTAATTTTTGGAGGTAAAAAATATCAAATATGCGACAAAACAAAGCTAGCCAATATATCGCGGTTAGTGATTAAATACATCAGAACATTTATGTCTATCTGATTTTATTGGAAAGTAAATTGGGAAAAGACTGCTAGAGGGGGATCGATAGTGTATTCGAATTTTTGTTTTACTATTATCGATGCTCTTCACTCAAAAGTCTGGCAGCGCGGAAAGCAGAGAGTCTTCTGTTGAAAAGGTGGCAATCATGCATTTGAAATTTAAATTTAAGTGGTTCATTTTCAAAAACGCTTAAAAACGTAAGTCAATCTCCTCTTGGATATATTTTTAGGTTTGTTTTGTCCAGCAACAAACGAAAACCTTATTAAAATATCCCAAATCAGTTTTAACTTAAATGTATGTAAAAACAACCTTTTTAAGCACTTATCCAGGCCCCAATTGCCACCCAGTATTTAAAAAAACAAATGTGGATTAAATTGTGCCTACAGGTCTTTGATTATGTATTTAGCACGACGATATAAATAGATCATTGCTTCGTTCGATAACAATTCTCGAAAAACACATTGGAGATAGAATTTGTTCCGTTGAGTGGGTAATTTGTGTAAATACTTTAACATTTAATTTAGTTGGGCTGAAGAGCCAACAATTTACGATAACATACGAAACGGTGTCCGCTAACAGGGCTGCAGACACTTGGGAACGGCTGCAATGTAGAATCAACTATTAACGATATTCAGTATTCGAGGGCTCAAGATTCAAGAATACGATATTTGGTGAAATCATAAGAAAATCGACTGGCGGGCAATATAAATAAGTTATGTATTTGTGCGTATTGTATGCGTCTGTAGATGATAAAATACTTTCGTATGTGCTGCTGTCATGGGCCTCCTCGTCTGGTCGTAGTCAGAAAACCATAAAACGGATCGGATGCGGTGCCAAAACAACTCAAAAAGCGAACACAGAGACAGATTCGAGGGTGCGGATAGGAGAACAGAGATGCTTCGATGCAGCGATGGAGGCGGTAAGCGGATGTGGGGAGTCCCCGCTTAGGCGACGGCGTCGGTCTCGCACTCCTCCTCCACGGTGATGTACATACCCTCCTCCTCGTAGGCCGAATCGTGCTTGGCCAGGATCCGCAGCAGGGGACGCAGGCGCAGCCACCACTGCTTCTTCGGGATGCGTTGGCTGGGAAAGATAGAGCGAAAATCCATTTAGTTTGGGTTTTATTTTTAAAAATATCCAAAAATATATTGGAATGGGAAATTAAATAAATATTCCAGAAAAAGACTAAGGTCTATGGAACATATTTTAAGGAAAACCAATAGTTTTAGGAACTGCATAAGATTAATTCCTTCTAAAACTACAAAATCTTAGAAATCCAATATTTAAAGAAAATGTATAAGCATTTTGGAAATGCCATTGGCTATTCAATAAAAACTCATCATAATGGTTCTACAACTTAAAAAGCATTGTTCTTATAAACTTTAAATAGCAAAGCATTAAAAACCTTCATGATCACTGATGTCTTGACCACAAATAGCTGGTTTAAAGTAATCTAAATCAGGTAGTTAAGTTAAGTTAAGAAATTAAGTTGGAACGATATGAAAAGTTTGAGGATTTCATTCACAAAATCTACTTCTCTTTTTCATTAAGAATACCCCATTTTCAGCAATGTTTGCACAATTGGCGAAGATTGTACTCTACTATACTCACTCGAAGTTGGTCTCGGCAATGAGCTCGACCAGCGGCGAGAAGCGGTACTGCCGCGACACGATTCCCAGCAGCGTGGCGGTTTCGGGGGCCTTGCAGTTGACCACTCCGTTGGCGTCCACATTGGCCTTGATCTGCGTGGCCAGCCAGTCGACGCACTTGGCGGCCATCTTGGTGCCCATGTTGCGGTCGAAGGGAGTGGGGGAGCCGCCCTGCTGCATGTGGCCGAGGATGTTCATCCGGCAGGTGAAGAGGCCCTTGCCCTCCTCCGAGTACAGACGGTAAATGAAGTCCGTGCTGTAGTTCTCGCTGGCCTTCTCGTTGCGCAGGATCAGACCGCGGGAGACGCCCTCGGCCATCTTGGAGGCCATGTGGTAGACATCCTGCTGCAGGTCCTTGATGGAGAATTTCTCCTCGTAGATGTAGGCGGCATCAGCTCCGCCGGCCAAACCGGCCAGGGTGGCCAAATAGCCGCAGTAGCCACCCATCGTCTCGATAACGAACACACGTCGCTTGGTGCCCTGGGCCGACTGCCGGATACGGTCGCAAATCTCCGTAATCTCATTCAAACCGGTGTCGCAGCCCAGCGAGAACTCGGTGCCGGGCACGTTGTTCGAGATCGTCGATGGGATGACCACGATCGGGATGCAGAACTGCGGATAGTTGTCCCGCTGATCGGCAATCTGTCCTGCGGCATGATAACTCTCGAAACCTCCGATGATCAGGAGACCCTGGATCTTGAACTCCTTGAGGCGAGCGGCGATCTCCTTGAACTTGCCCTCGGGCAAAGTGCGCTTGGTGCCCAAGTAGGCGCCACCCTGGCCAACCCATCCCGAGACATCGGACCTGGAAATGGTTTAAGATTAGAGTTGGTAAGTCAACCTTAAGGCATTAAACTCACCAGCCCAGCTCGCGGACATTTCCGGCAATGAGACCCTCGACACCGTCGTTGATTCCATACACAACATCGCCTCGGTAGATGGCATTTCGCACGAAACTGCGCACAGCGGCATTCATGCCGCAAGCTGGTGCTCCAATGTGCATCACAGCTAGACGGTAGCCCTCGATGCCCTTGCCATCGGCATCGAAGTTCTCCTTCGGGGGCTTCAAGCGTGTCAACATTTTGTACGTCTCCAGATTCCTCTCGAAGGAGCGACCGCGCAGCTTGACCGCATCCGCCCAGCGCTTCTCCTTCATGGCCTTGGCCACCGCCTGGGTGCGCTCCACGCACTCCATCAGCGGCACTCGAACGGCCTGGTTGCCATCCAGGGAGATGACCACTGGCACCGACTCCTTGGTGGCCTCCATCAGGGCCAAGGTGGCCTCAGCACCCATGCGACAGGCCTGGAAAAGGGGAAAAGGCATATATTTAAGATTATTTCATCAAGGGGATAAAATATATTTTTTATGAAATTTAAATTATGAAATATATGAATATATCTTAATAAATGGAAAACATATATTTAATATTATTTCATCAAGGGGATAAAATATATAGTTTATGAAATTTAAATTATGAAATATATGAATATGTATATCTAAATAAATGTTAAATATTCCGGTGTGTTGCGGAATTCTCTTCCAACAAAATTTAAACCTTTGGACATACATTTATCCATACAATTTCCCATTAAATTTGCTTGGAAAAAATGACAATCCATAATAAGAATTTATAATAAGATTTTAAAAGGCATTAATCTGCTTGCAAGCGACACAGCGACATTCCTTAAGAATGTGTAAATTCAAAGCTTATTCTCTTAAGATCCGAGCTACAAAGTCTGGCGTTAAAAAGTATGCTATAAAAAAATTTCTATCAAGGATGAAAATGATTGGCTTGAAATATTTGATAAAAAGGCATTAAAATGTATGCCCAAGACTTATAAGCCATAAATATATTAAAGCTTAATCTAATATTAATTTTGAGGAAAAATTTTGTTACTCTTTAACCCGTCTCTTTCCTAAAGTAAGGCAAATACTCACCAAAATACGATCGAAGGCGCTGGGATTGCCACCGCGCTGCACATGACCCAAAACGGTGATACGGGCATCGTGCTTCAAACGCTCGTCGATGACCTTCTTCACATCCTCGGCAGTGATGGGATGTCCTTCGCGATCCATGGCGCCCTCGGCCACGATCACGATGTTCAGGCGCTGACCAGCAGAGCGCTCCTGTTTTCGAATTAGGTAAGGTAATATAATTAATTAATATATATACAAAATAATGCGGTTGTGGATGATACAAAAACTACAACAGCACAAACAAATCATGAAGAAGCTTGATGTATGGACATCATTTCTACGATGTGTATTTTATGAATGCTTTGCCTTTTGATGTCTGAAGAATGTTGAACAAAATGTATGTCAGCGAGTTTATCAGTACAGTGCGTTTCGAGACGTAAAGTTTCTCTGTTAAACTTAGAAGTGCAGGCTTTATAAAAGAGTCTCATTTATGAAAATGAATTTATTTACATTGATTTGATGCTATGATGCATTGAAAATGCAATGAATAAGTTAATGGTTGAAGGGTTAACAGGCATAGTTCATGTCTAATGAAAATAAATTGAAGTGTATGAAACGCTTTAATAAATATCTTGAAAACAAGTTAATTATTCAGGTTTCATTTTGTTTCGAAACGCACTGAAGTTGAATAAATGTCTTGAAATGTGAAGAATAGACGCACAAGTCATAGTAAGTCGATAATTATAACATTTATGAAGATTTACAGATCGATTAAACGAAGATGAGTGTTAGTGGAGTTGGGAAAGTTAATAAGGGAACTCAATGACATCATGAGGAGTACATAAAACAGAGACCCAAATACCCAAACAAGTAAATCAAATAGATGTTAAAGCCGTTTATCGCCATTGAAATTTCGGCACACCAAAAGGGCCAAAACAAAGCAGTAGAAAATTTTGAAATTTGAACTTTGACAAAAGATTAACTAGATACTAATTGGATAGAGAAGGACTCTTGGCCTGACCTGCAGGAGCTTGGCACAGATCTCGTCCTGCCAATTGACCGACACCGGCTCCTCGGGTATGAACATAAAATCAGCCTCTGTGG